TTTGACAACTATATTTCAATGTTTATTCTTGGAATACCCCTCGTGCCCACATGTAATTACCACAAAAAGAGAATGTGAGGGACTAGGTACAACCACAACCCACATTACATTAGAGAACAAAGGTACCAATTGACCCCTCACCTCAGAAACTGGACAGCTCTTCAATATAAATCACAGTGCTGGGACAGATGCTAAATTGCAAATAAATGTTCTTTCACAGGAGGCTAATGGGAATGAGATAATGAAGTTATAAGGTCTCCCTATGAAGGGCCCCGTGCCATATAAAACTAAAACTTAAGGGGTAATGTTTCATTAAATAATGGAAAGTTCTAAGAAAATCAAGAGATAAAAACACCAAAGCAGCATATGAAACTTTGGGCTATCTGCCAGATTTATTATCTGTTATTTCCACCCTTCCCCGCACCCACAAATAGTGGTGATTTGCCAAACAATATAAGAGACAAAACAAATGAAAGTAGTCATATTTCAAGGGCACTTTTTCCTGGTTCAGCATTTCCTCTTTTTTATCACTACATCTATCATAATCATTTATGCACGCTCCTAATAAACACTAATATTAAAAGAAACTTAAAACAACAACAAAAACCTGTCATCTTGAAAACACAGCCTTGACCAAGCATACCACAGCTGGGTTCCCAGGGGAGTCAGGAAGCTCTGAATTCATCTCCCACTTCTCAAGGACAAGTCAGAGCTGAAGTCTTTAGAAGTGTCCTCAGTATCTATCACTAAGGGCATGATTAAGTGCCATTTGCAGTTCTGGAACCAAGCCCAATACTGAAGGAACACTGCCTTCTCACACAGTATGTTGCCAATACATCACCAAAAAGTTCAAAGCACTTAAGCACTAATTTCCTTGTGAAAAAAAGAAACATCCCGACTCCAGCTGTCTACGCAGGATGTGCTAGCTCCCTCATCGTCTGATAATCCGACATGTCTTCTGAGGCTTGTTTTCTGTGATGACAGAAAATAACACATCATAAGGAAACTGGCTAGAGATGTAGACTGAACAAAACTGCAAACACCACATGCACCTGCACTTCTTTCAGTCACGAAGATTCATCACCATCTAAGTGACTTGTGGCAAACACGGAGTCCTAGAGATTGCTGGGTTTCTTTTTAAGAAGCTGCAGACAAAATAAGCTAATACTCTGAGAATAATGAATTTACCTCGCAAATATACTTCTTTTCTTTCTATTGCTTCCTAGACAGAGCTTTTGTTCAGTGAACTCACACATCCTTCAGACTTGTTATCTGTTCCAAATAGCACCCTTCATGTTGAGTTAAATATCAAATAAATTAAAAAAATCTTTTTCTCTTATGAATGAACTTTCCAACTTGCTTAACCCCCTCCCGGACATCTGCTTTCTGATGAAACCCAGGAGCTTTTGAGTAGAACAGTCACTGTGTGGTCTTAAAAGAGCCACAGTACACAAATCTCTCTTGCAATATGCACTCGAAATTTGGAAAGAAACTTTCTTGGAGCTATTTGACATAACATTCTATAAAAATGATCCAAGGGATGACACATTTTACAGCTCCATACTTTGTTTACAGAAACAAGTCCAAGTATGAAATTCATACCAGAAAAAAAAAAAAAATCCAAAACAGCATCATTCCAGTATGCTCTCTCCCAGCACACAATTCAGGGATTGTCCTAATAAGATAACTAGTCTTTGCTGCCATCTAGAGGTAAAAACTGTGTGGTGAAATCAGCAAATAAAGTCTAACCTGTGAACTTCTTCTAACCTGTAAGTTATCACCACCTCAAGCCAATCTTCTTCACCAACACTATCAGTATTGCCTATAAACTCCACCACTACAGTGTTTGATGTTAGGTAGGTATTCAGACAGAGACCTGTGGTGCTTATGAAAAACATACCTGCCCCGACCCGACTCCCAGACAATCATCTGTAGCTCTGCCATAACATCTGGGTGTGCCATTTACCTGAATCACAGACATCCTGACATGTGACCACTGGGCCAAGATGCGCTAGACTCTCATAGTGCTAAATTTTCCCTACCTTGGCAGGTCGGAGTTCACAGTGAAAGAAAATGTTTCTATCTAAAAGAGCTTCAGCCCCTGCAGTGGTTCTCTTAAGTGTGGCAGGCTAACCACTTGCATCAGAACAAATCATCCTGGAGAATTTACTAGAGGTGTGGATTCCTACACACCCACAGAACTATTTAAACAGGCGCTCACCATGGACTTCTGACACTAAATTGGAAAACTGGAATTCTGGAAAGGTTGAAACAGATTTCAACTGCAGCTTTTGTTGTTCATGGTTAGATGAAATAGGTGATAATCACAGAAATGTCCTCATCACTGAGAATTTTCCTTTTTCATCTCTTAATAGTTTACTATATCATCTTTTAATTGTATGATTTTAGAAAGTGTTGGGACTAACAAAGAGCACTTATAATGTCACTAACCTGAGCAGACCACTAATATGGATGCATTTTCATCTACAAATTAGGGTTGAGCATTCCTAATTTGAAATTGAACATGCTATAACCTAACTTTCTTAGTGCCACTACAATGTCTTAAGTGGACAGTTCCACACAGGACCTCACATGACATGTAGTGGCTAATACACAGTGACACTAAAAATAGTGTAGAAAATTATATTCATTCTATTTGTGTAATGTACACAGGAAACATAAATGGATTCTGTGTTTAGATGTGGATCACACTGTGGATATGCAAATAAGTACCCAAAATTAAGACAGTCAAACTACTCATGACCCCCAGTGTTTCACAAGGGACAGTCAATCTGCAGTTCTTTCTCTTCACATGTAAGTGTTTAAAGTGTGCATGATCTAAATCCAGTTTCTTAACATTGCTGTGGAAGCAGTTCCCTGTAACTTCAATGACTTGTAACGACAGCATAGTGTTTTTATGTAATCATACACTAATTCATTTATCACACCCCCACTATTAAGAATTGTTTTCTATGTCCACTTTTTTCATTCTAATTAATGCTAAAATAACTATCTTTACCTTTCTTTATTTCCTAGAAAAGGTCTCTAACGAAAAAAGTGACTAAGTCACAGGGGATGAGTTTTATGGTACTTGATATACAGTGCCAAGTTGCTCTCTACTTCATTTGGACGCTGATTATTATTATTATTAGTAGTATTCTTAAAAGCAAACAACAAAAACATGAAGAATGTAGATGCATATGTTAGTGTTACATGGAACCGTGAAGCCAAGATGACAGGTAGGACACACGAGAATGGAATGGGACTATCACCTCACCTGGTATGTTTAGGATTAATAACAAAAAGATACTAAGAATATTAACCTACGTACAGAAAACTTGACTACATGAATCAAAAAACAAGTGTATTTCCAACATTGTTTATCCTTACTGAAGGAAGCCAAATCTATGCAGCATTTCTTTCTATTTGAAAACACTATTTATGGCGCTATGTGTTTAAGTGACTGTGACTACTAAATTTAATTCTAACTCATTCTGATACACTTTTTAAATCAAGTATTCAATGATTTAGGAGTTAAAAGCTCAATAATATCAGACTATATTTGGGATAATGAAATAAATGAAAAACATATATACTATATTTTAAGGTAAATATAAAGGCACTTCAATGTTCTGAATCAGCATAATAAAAATGTTAAAGGATGAAGAATAATTAGAAGATGGTCTCATAAAAACAGTGTTAAAAATCTACAACAAAGGAATACAAAAAAACTTTTAAGATATTTGACAATATTTACATTTATGCACTCAAAACAAGAAAAGAATGGTGTAACCTGGGGGGGGGGAGAATAATCAACTCTGTCAGAAAGACTGTTACAAGTTCAAAGCATGCCTGGGGCACACAGTGAGTTCCACACCAGCCTAGAAGTGAGATCTAGTCTCACACCACCACCACCACCACCATCACATCACCATGACCACCACCACCAAACAACAAAAACTAAACAAACAACAACAATAAAGGAAGAATAATCAACTGACTATAACAAATGTACGGTTAGTTGAAAACTTCCCATCTATATGCCAGCAACTATTCTCTTTTATTGTTTTTTAATTATTTTAATTTTTTGCTTTTTGAGACAGGGTTTCTCTGTCCTGGATCTTGCTTTGGAGACCAGGCTGGCCTCTAACTCACAGAGATCCACTTGCCTTTGCTGGGATTAAAGGCGTGCACCACCACTGTCCGGACTGCCAACAAATACTCTTAAATATTCTCATTTTTTTTTACTCTTCTCATTCTTTAAGGAAGCATTTTCTCCCTTAAAAATTAAAATATAAAATATAATAGTTGTTAGCAATCTATTTAACTCCCTGATAACCTACTCCTTTACCTAGATCACTCACTCAGGCTATGTGACTCCTCTTACATTGCCCCTCATAGGTAACCAATAAGCAGATAGTAGACAACTCTGCCTCTGCAATGTATCCCATCTCCCACCTCAATCCACTCTTTTCTCATACGTGTTCCTATGATGAATGGGTAGTCTCCCCTATGTGGCAGCCTGTCATATGCATTCTAATTTGAAGCACTCCATTTCTCAAATGTGTTTGATGTTTTCCTGAACCAAGAATATTAACAACATTCTCTCATCTTATAATCGACAGCAGCTTCCTTGAGGTTCAGTCAAATGCTACTTTCCCCATGAAGCTCTTAGATGCAGCAAAAATTAAATCTTTCTCTGGAAATATCATAGCTCTCTGACAATAATTGGGGACACTGCTCTTGTTTATTTCCACAACACTGATTAGCAAGAAGAATTAGGCTTCCCCTGTGGTTACCACTATCATTAAAGCACATATACAAAAGGAGTTTGCAGAATGTTTTCTCAAACTAACTTCAATCTGATAAGATTCCCAGAACCTACTGCTTTCAAAGTCAAACCCTCTGAACTAACTACATGCCTTTAAAAATGACCATTTTCTTCCACTGTATAATAACTACCTTTTGTCTTTGTTGTTGTTGCTGTTGTTTGATTCAAGATCAAAGGAGTATGCAAGCAGAGAATTCCAACAAGGATCCCTAAACCCAAATCTACAGGCATCAGTAGACTTTCCAGCAAAACAGCCCTCGGACCTGTGGATAAGCCTAGTCACCAAAATGGCTGTGAAAAATTACACATCATAAGAACTGTTACCTCTAACACATTCCTCCACATAGAAGGGAAAAGGTAAGTCACACCTAAGTACTGTCTAGGAAGATTCATCTCCAGAAATATCCGAGAAGCTACAATCACGGAAGGCCAGAGAAGGATGGCCATCTATCTCTCCAGGAAACGGTGAAGCAGCATGCTGTCCTATGGCTCACAGGTTGATGGACCTGGTGAAGAGCATGTCCAAAGAAGCAGTGCATGTACACTTTCCAACTCTCTCTAGAGCATACATACACACTCTCTAGTTCACAACTGCACACCACTCAATTCTTCATGGCATTTGTAACCTGACTCAAAGCTGGACTGCAGCATCAGCTCAGGACAAGACTCGATCCACTACTATAGCTCAAGAGCCTTTTGTAAACAAAGAAGCAATCTTTCATTCTACAGAATCACATAATCACATGGGATAAGAAAATGGACTAGCAAGAATTCCTGACTTATTTGTGAAAGTAGGATGATTTTCATCAAAATGACATAACAATTAAAACCAAACTTTAAGGTCTAAAAACCATCATCTTATGACTATGAGAAAGAAAAGTAGTAATTCTTAGCTATAAGGAGAGAGAAACAACAAAATTAGTAATAGCTGATTACATCCTTGGTGTGGCCAACCAACAATCACTGATGTGTACATACTTGACTACTAGCATTCAGCCTCCTCTACCATTTTTATAGCAGATTTCCCCTCCTAAAGATTAAGTTATAGAATCATATTGCTTTGCATGTAAGATTAAAAAAGTCTTCAGATTAGCACTGTGGCTTTCTATATTAATCAGAGCATATGAGAATCAATGGTCACTACTACTGAAATCTTACGAGGGAAATATAAATCACTGTTATGGTTCTTAAAAAAAAAGAGCAATAATTTATCATTTCATAGGGCGTCTTTATTCACATCCCTTCCCTCAATGTTACACAAAAAGATTAGCAGATTCAACAAACGCTTTGGTCCAGGAGACCCAGGATGACATTTACAGAATACTGCATTCAGTCATCTACAGGCTGCACACAGTACCCTGGCAGTAGTAACATGTAGTCACTGTTCTATCTCATTCAAGCTTGTGTCACTGAATCAAGAGAAAGGAGTGATTATAATTCAGTGTGGACACTGGCGCAATGACATTTTTAAGATGAGGCATTTTAGACTAAAGAGATTTCACAACTTCACAAAGTCCCAGGGGTTGGGAGTGTCAATGATTTCTATGACCCATCACCGAACACTGGAGGCATGGGCCTGGAGGAAATCTTCCTGGCTGAGGACTACACTTCAGGTAGCTTTCTACAATGGGCCTCAAAGCAGAAGCAAAGAACTGCCATTCCCCACACTCACATGGCTAATCTATTTCAATGCATACACTGATGCCACAATATAACACCCCAGGGGGCCATTTAATGAAGAGAGGAATGGGGGAAAGAGAGGGAGGGACAGGAAGAGGAAGCAGAGGAGGAAGAGGAGGAAGGTGGGCAGCACTAAGTTATGCTAGTTAAAGAGGAATGGTGTATAGCACCAGGCAAGTAGCAGCGGAAGATTGTGGGAGGACAAGTTATGAGACTGAAACAAAAGCCAAAGTTAAAGCCATAAGTGAAAAGAAAAGACTATGAATGAAGGGGAGGGAGCTCTGACGCCAAAAGCAAGACACATCCACAGGGTGCACAGCAGCATGCCTGAGATAAAGCAGGTATTTAATACATCTTAAGTAAATTCAGGATAAGGAATGAGCTAGAGAGGCCATTCAATCAAGACACGGGTAGTGAAGTATGGTAGGATGGGAAAATCAGTTATGCCTGGGTACCATTTATTATGCTAATGGAGAGATAAACTACTGGAATCCCTAGAGTGAAAACCAAATAGATCAAAAGGAAGCATAAAACAAGCTGGGCACATGCCTATAATCTTACCAAGCTGGAGCAGAAGCAGGAGGCAAAAGGAAAAGGATCATGAGTGTGAGGCTAGTCTGAGCTGTTATATTGTCTCAAAAAAAAAAAAAAGTGCTGAGGCTACAGCTCTGGTAGAGAGAACACTTGCCTAGCATTCACAAGGCCACAGGTTCAATTCTCAGCAGTACACACACACACACACACACACACACACACACACACACACACACACACACACACACACACACACAAGGGAGCAACCAGTTAAGAGAGAACTGGTTGCTCTTTGGGAGGATTCCCAGCACCCACAAGGCAGTTCACAACCATCTGCAATTCCAGTCACAGGTCATCCGATACCCTCTTCTGGCCTCCATGGGCACTGCACATATGGAGACCAAACATACTTGCAGGTAAAACACCCACACACATAAGAATAAAATAAAATTGAATTTTTGATAGGAAAAATAACATATACTATTAATGGCTTCAGAAAAACAAAGTGCCTTGGAAAGTTTGATCTTGAAAAGGAACACAAAATATGTTGTATATTAAAGGTTTTAACCTTGTTTTCTCCCACACTGGTACTCTCTCAAGTATGTTTTATATCAAGATGGCATAAATTCATGAGCAAGGAAAGAAAGGAGAAGATATTGTTCAAAGTACTAAAAAGAAAAAATACAAAATAATTAGGGACATTTCTATGATCACCAGCAGTAATTCATCTTCAAATGGCAATCAAGTTCTCTCATTAAGATAAAAGTATCACAAAATGTTCCATTTTAACCAAAGAATTACCAACTACAACACAGGCTTACTCCAAGCAACATCTGAGGCATAACAGGCAATGCAACTAAGAACTAAGTATGACTTGGATGTCAACAGCATAGTGTTTGACATATAAAGCAAGTGAAACAAAGAATCCTGCCACCCCAGCATAACCCTGCTACAGAAATGGGGCCGTTATGAAGGGGGAAAATAAAAAGTAAGTAAGAGAAGCTATCCTACATGAAGTGGGAAGGAGGCCCCTGGAAAGAATGTGTTTAACAGGAGTAGAAGGGAGTGAGAGAGGTAAGGAGGGTGAAAATGGACAAAATACACCATATACATATGTGAAATTGTCAGAATGTTTTTAAATTTCAAAAGGAAAATGTCCTACAATTCTAGAGTAACTGTGATTAAATTTTAAGAAATAGATAAAAGTCCAAGTGAAGGAAAATAATGAAACTCCTAAGAACTGATAGTTTTATGTTAAGAGTCCTACTTGTGCTTTGTTTATTCAGCTTTGGTGATCTCTGGATTACTATTTGAACTTTTTGAAATCATGTTATCTAATTTTAATCAGAATGTAATTCATCTAGTATCTAACAGAACTGTGGACTGAATACTAGGGTAACTAATAAAAACCACTTTTCTCTAGGATATATTTCAAATTTCTTACAGAGAAATATATAATCCCCTGAGTTTGGGATGTAAGCAGCATCTTCAAGCTGGGTAGGCCAAAATTCTATTATCTCACCTCATTTGACAGGAAGGCTAAGAATAATTGTGATAATGAAAAATGTTGAAAGAAATCAAAACAAAACTATTTTATGATAAGAAAATTACATAAAACTCAAATTTCATTGTTTATAAAGTTTTATTAGAACAAGTTACACTCATTTGTTTACATATTTGTCTACTTTTACACTAAAATACCAAAGCTGAGTAGTTTAAAAATGACTGGATCTGCAAAACCTTGGTAGACTCCTGCTAAATAAATAAATACATACAAAAAAAAAAAAAAAAGAAACCCACGAACTAGACTAGCAAGGAACCCAGGAACAGAACATTTAACCACACTACCATCATCTAATTTCTAAAAGCAACACTTGCAATTCAAGAATTCAATCTAGCATTCTATGAAAGCTGACGAAATGAGAAAACTACATTGCAAGATGTTCATGAAATGTTTAGAAAAGTGTATATAACATTGAAGTATTCAATGACAAATCATTAGATCCAGAACAGGTCAAAAGCAGGGCAGAGTGGCACAAGCCTATAATATCAGCAATGGGCAAGCTGAAGCAAAAAAACGTCTAGTTCAAGGCAGTAGGATTTCTAATTCAAGGCCAACCTGGGCTAGATAGTGAAAACCTTTCTCAAAACAAAGCCAAAACCAATACAAAAACCTCTAAGAATTTGTAGTACAGAACAATGTTATGCATTATTATTAAACAAGAGAAGAAATGAAAGGTCTTCCGCATTTATGAGGGGTATTTTTTCAGGAAACGCATGGATACTTAGCAAAATTATATCAGGGAATGTATGATCTGGAGAAAGATATGCACACATGTACTTTCAAACTTTCCTAAGCTGTTGTCAAGAACCATTCGTTTTAACATTTGTAAGAATTGTGGGAATTCCAAAAGTCTCCTAGGTTGTTTGCAGGTTCATCTAGAAGTTTTCAAGTACAGAACATGACTGACAATGTAGCCTCTTTTTCTTTCCTCCCTCTTGTGTTTAAAAATCCATCCTGAATTTTGCCCTTAAACATTCTGTCATGTTATATGTATCTTTATTAAACACACCAATACATATATCCAATAATGTAAACTGATGGTGTCCCCTCCAATTCTGTGTCAAAAATAGAGCTGACCTCAATAAATAATCATGAAAACACTGTGCTCTGAAGTTGGTTCTCTGTGGGTACTGTCAACATCTACAGGAATATTCCAAGCCTGAATTGTACAGCACAGACAATGGTTCGCAATATGCACAATGCCTATATATTAAATTATACCATAGCAGTCTAACTTTGGTGAGAAAAAAGGTAAATAACAAAACAAATAACAACCTTAACTATTCATTTAGAGATCCTATGTTCCCCCACCAAGTCATTCCAGAGGAAATTTGAATCAATAAAGCAACACGATTTGAAGAATATTCACGATGCTCACCTCAGCAGTCACTTAACAGAAAGAATCACTGCATTCACTTTAGGTCACGAAGCTGTCACCTGTATGAGTTACAGTCTCATTTACAAAGCAGGAGTCTATTTATTGTCCCCTTTACAACACAATTGATAACACTAAATCCAGGTGAGCATGATAGTGAGTACTTCTAATCCTAGCAGTCAGGAGGTCAAAGCTGGGAGATTTCAGATTTCAGGCCAGCAGACTGGGCTACATATTAAAATCCTGGCTTAAAAAATAATAAAATACATTTAATAAAGGATAGTTAGACACTACCATAAGGCACAGGATTTTGGCAAGTCTTCCATGCAATAGAGCATCTTCAGAGGCATAAGTCTCCAGACAGGATATGGCTATAATAATTAATTTACTACAAAAACTAAATGAATGCCTTCTAGGAACAAAATCACTCCTCCAAGCCTCAAGGAGAAAGCAAAGGATGAGGAAAAGCTACCATGGAGCTAACATCCAGTGCCAGCAGACAGTGATTTACCAAGACAAGCGGCAGACAGTGGTAAAGGACCTGCCCATCAGAAGAGCACCCACGGCACGTTCCCGGCTAACCAGGAGCTGCTTCTCAGGGAGGTCTGAGACCTGCCAATCAAAAGAGCACCCACAGCACGTTCCCAGCTAACCAGGAGCTGCTTCTCAGGGAGGTCTGAACCGCGTTCCTATGTTAAGAGCTCGTCACTAAAATCAGAAGGACAGCACGGAACAACTATTACAAGATCCTGAGACGAAAGGAATGGAGCCTATGGAGAAATAAAGGGAAGGCCAGTGTTGTTGAGCCACTGTCAACAGTGGGGACTAGCAGGTCTGGAAAATAACTAGCCACGGTAATGAGATTTACTGTGTGCAGAGAGAGCTTGTGGAGATTTAACCCAGTTTCTGATCTGACTTCTCTGGCAGCTGAGGGACAAAAACTGATGCTGGAACCTCTATTTTGAACTTACTACAGTGGTTAATACAAATTAGAACAACAGTATATACGTCAATGGGGGGAAATGTAGAGAAAGACCCGGGGTAACTTCGGGCAGGAGACACAACAGGACCTGGAGATGTGAGAAGTTAAGGGAACAAACACATCAATATCCTATCAAGCTTCTGTGAAATTGATGGGTTGTGGGAACTGAAATATGGAAGTGTGGAGACAAAGCAGAATTACACCACTTACACTTGATATTCATATTAAACAACAAATTCTTCAGAAGCCATCCAGCTGTTTGAGCTTTGAGCCAAATCACATATGAGAACTACATCTCAATTACAGACAAAAAGATGTTTCTCAAAGCATAACGGCAAAACTGCTTATTTTTATCTCTGAATAAAATCAGACGACCAGTCAACAGTTTGATAATGTGTATAATGCATATAAATTATGTACCTTTTAAAATCAATAATGATTTGTTTGCTTAGAGATGAGATTCTTACCTTTGATCATAAGAATAACCATCACAAGAAACATAGGTGCACAGACTGACTTCAGCTCATCTGAATATGAATGGGAGCTACCTCACTCAACAAGAGAAGCCCAAGCTAAGCAAGCATCTCAGTGCTCCTGCTTCCTCATGTATAAAAATAAGAAAACAGTAACTACTTCTTAGTAGACTTGAAAATATGCTAGCATTCATAAAGTGACCATACCAATCACATGACATTAAAGGTAGGCTGAGGCAGGAGAATTAAGAGTTTAAGGTTAGCTGGGCAGTGGTGGCGCACGCCTTTAATCCCAGCACTCGGGAGGCAGAGCCAGGCAGATCTCTGTGAGTTCAAGGCCAGCCTGGGCTACCAAGTGAGTTCCAGGAAAAGCACAAAGCTACACAGAGAAACCAAGTCTTAAGAGTTTAAGGTTGGCCTGGACTACAGAAGGAAAGCTCCATCTCAAAAAAGAAAGAAAGGAAAGAAAGGAAAAGGATTTAGCACACAGTAAGAGCTCAACAAATGAAAAGTGGCATGACTACCCCCTGACTCCTGATATTTCTAAACACCTCCGTTTTCTTGTTACATGTATGGTTAGAGGTGGCATCAAGACTCAAAATGAGCTACTGAATCACAGGAAGAACACTCCTGAAAAGGTGTGGAGAGCTGTAGATTACTGAGAACAAGCCATTTTTATTCATCTTTGCTTTACGCTTAGTTTCTCGGTACTGTAGTTTGGTGCCGGCTCTCCTACATCTCTAGTCCAGTCTCACACCTAGGATTCAGACTCCCATATGCCACTGGACTGACACTCTACTTGACTTTTTCCCTCAAATCACAAAATCCATGCTGTGATTTTTCAGTTTCACACTGAGAAATCTCCTAAACCTGTCAACTCCATCAGTGTCTATCATGTGATGGTTCTGAGGTCAAACAGAAATCTAACTTTGAGCTTACCCTCAAAACTACAGAGGGGCAGATCTTGGAACCTTGGGGGGTAACTTGAGACATAACAACAGTAGTCACTACATGTTCAGTCTTATGGGACTTGAAATGTTCAAGGCCACTTCGGGGGAGTTACTTAAATGCTTTGGGAAACAGTTTTGTTTCTGACACCAACCAGGTAACTGAACTTGCCAATGAACATCTTTAGGTCACATTCCTTATCTGTAAAACAGCAGACTTCTAAAAGATGACCTTTATTGAAGACCCTTGTTGCCTCAAACTACATGTTATAAAGAACACATTGTATTAATACTTTGGGCATACACTGTGCGCCAAGCATTGTACCAGGCTGTACAACTTTAAACCACCTCCATTTCACCTTCATAACAACCTCTGAACAGATATTAGCATTACTCTTTTTACAGATGATGAAAAGGAGAATGTGTCAGCGACAGCAGAGCCTGGGATTTGAATTCCACCAGTCTGAACCTAGTTCCTAGTTCAGGAACTACCGGTGACCACATGCCAAACCGCTTCTTTGCACAAAAAACAAACAAACAAACAAAAAACAAAACAACAACAAAAAAAAACGGTCTACGTCGTTTCAAGGACAAAGTTAAGTAAAAGAGAAAGAGAGCCTGGGAAGGGACCCCCCCCCCCTCCACACCGGCAGACCACGAGGGTGTGTGTCACTCTCGCTTCACGTGTGACGACAGGCTCTCCCACCCGTGTCCCCGCGGGCGCCCCTCGTCCGGGCGGACCCCCGCGAGGGCCACACACGCCGGCAGGGGGCTGAGGCGGCGAGGGGGGCCTGGGGAGGAGGCGGGCCGAGCGGGTACCTGGGCTGCTGGCGGCGGCCGGCTGGTTCTCCCACCACTCGTCTCCCAGATCGTCCGCCATCTCCGTGGGACCCGACGCGAGCTGCTGACACGCAGCGGGGAAACGGGCCGGCGGCGGCTGTGCTCTCCGTCTGTGCCTCACGGCCGGCGACGGCGACCCCAGCAGCACGCGGCGGTAACCACGGAACGCCGCCGTCGCTCGCGCCCGGGGGAGATGACGTCACGCACACCACGCCCTCCAGCTGCCGCGGGAGCGGGTGTCGCCGTTTCCACACGGGTTCCGGGTGCTCAACGTCGAACCGGAAACACAAAGTAAAGGCCCCCAAGTGATAGAAACGAGCCACGACACAGAACCAAAAGCTTATCGTCCGCCGTGATCGTTTTTTTTAAAAATATCTTTAAGGGTTTTGGTTTGGATTGCGGCGGAGAAGTCTGTGTCGAAAGTGCAAGGACTGATGCTAAGACGATTTTTCTCTGCTCAATTTCAGCCGCGGGAGAAGTCCTGAGCACGTGGGTGTGTTTTCATTAGGTTGTCAGTGTTCTGTCGTTCCTGCGCTTGTACAGTTTGCCCTGAGAGAGAAGCCTGAGAGTTTGTGGCGATGGAAGTCAGGGATTCGTTGTACACGTGGATGCTACACTTTTGGTACAACTTAAATAAAGAGAAGGTAATTAGTCAGGAGGGGTGCGAATGCCCTAGCGCCTTGAAATATTATACTACTTCTCTCTATCTATACTTAATCGGGTTTGATATACCCTTTCAAGGACTGGGAGTGTTTGTGTCTGAATACTATGGCTCTTGGAACAAGAACAGAACTTGGAGCTGGGCGTGGTAATCCCAGCACTCTGAAGGCAGAGGCCAGCAGATCTCTCGAGTTCAAGGCCAGCCTGGTCTACATAGTAAATTCCCGGACTGCCAGGGTTATGTAGAGAAACCTATCTCTGAGAGAGGGAGGGAGGGAGCTAGAGAGAGAAAGAGACACAGAGACAGAGAAAAGAGAGAGACGGAGGGAGGGACGGGGGGGGGGGGAGAGAGAGAGAGAGAGAGAGAGAGAGAACTTGGCATAGAGTAGACTCTCAGACTGTTGACAATCGGACTATACGCAATATTCCTTTACTTTCTGCCTAACAGGTATCAGAGATCAGGAAAGCCACAGGCCAAATGCAGCCATGGGTTGTTTGTACCGGTGGTCATAAGTGATTTTTATAGTAGAAAGCATTGGAAGAAATAAAGCAAACTAACCAGAAAGTGTGGCTTTGGTATGGTAAATCTACACATCCATACTTCATGCATTTACTGTCTCTCCCTTTACAGAAAAAAATTCCAGACTATATCGAGTAATCAGGCCAAATTTTATCTTCCTTAACTGTTTTGTTATCAGTAAACTGATAACCGGGTTTATAAATTAGCCTGTCCTAAAACCCGAGATCCACTACCTGATCACCTCATCAACCCAGGGAAGCTAAGGCGGAAACAACTAGGGGGGCTTTACCTGATCCCTCTTTCTGTAG